GTACGACATTCAGAAGCAGAGTCATCAAGGACCCGATGAGATCAATCAGGGCTTGGTTGAAGATGAAGGCGTTGGTCAGGGTGTGCATGAAGCGAACTTTGGCGATCACCACGCACACCAAACCATTGCCGCAGATCCCAACGATTCCTACAATGGCCTGGAATGCCTGGCTTGCTTGCTCAGCCATTGCGACTCTCTGTTTATCCTGATAAGCTCAAGTTGTGGTTGGTTTTGGTAACTGATGACTGATCAAAATGCGTGCAGTTTTATACTAGTCCTTGTTTGTTCACTGACCAGCAGTCCTTGTTTGTTCACTGACCAGTTTTATAGTCATTTATTCACTCACCGGCAAAGCAAGTCATTTACCAATAAACAACAAACATTTAGAACATCATGTTTGTAACGTAAACTCAATTAAAAACTAATCAACGATTTTATATTTCTGTAGTAATCTAGACCTTTATAATTTTAATTGGAAAGGAAATGTCATCACAAAAAATAACAGAAATGTGAAAACTAAATGTTATGATAAATATCTAGTAAACTAATAATGTTCGACAAGCAATTACACAAAATTGATCATTCTAAATTTAAAGGAAAATTGATCACTAGAATAACAGAAGCGCAAGTTGATTGATTGCTTTGGCCAGTGTACCTGCTTTAAAAAGCGTGCAATTATTCTTTGTCGCAACCTCCAGCTGTACGGCTGAACCATGTCCAACAAGAGGTTCATTGGCCTATGATTATATGACAATGTTTTCTTGTAAATTGATGGGAAAGTACTCTTCCTCCATGATTATTTTTGTCAAGATAACTTGACAGATTTTTCAGCAGCACAGAAGATTTCTTCAAAGAAATAATCTTATATCTATAAAAAAAAAAATAGACTGTGTTTCTTTTCAGTATTCCTAATTTTAACCAAGATAGGAATTTTATTCTACTAAATGATCAATTCATCTACTTTTCGTTTGTTCATTATTCTTAGTATTTACTCATTTCATTATTTTAAACTATTCATATTTCAAAAGATATACATGCAGTGCAGAAGAGAACCGTTCTCTGAAAGTGGGCACTTGACCACAGCATCCAATTTCTAAACAGATGTCACATTACAAACACATTCAAACTAACACTTCCTTTTATGGCGCACAGCTGGAACAAAAAAATGTGTCATTTGTAATGACTTTTTCCCTACTCTTAGTCAATTGGTCAAGCTGTCAGATTAGCGGTATAGTTTTTTTTTTAATCTATGAAGATGTCTGCGTTTTTTAAAGGGAAAATACCGGTACAACATTTGCAAACATCAAAAAATAAAACTACCAAATTATTTTGAAATACCTTGCTGGACTGTTAGTGAAAGGCAGTCTAAAGCATCCTGTAAAATCATGGCACCTGGTATACTGTCATTTTCAAGAAAAGTGGTAATCCATCCATTTCTGAAACTTACAGCAGAAGCAAATGATGTATATTCCCTTTCAGGGCAATTCCTTGCAAATGTCATCCTGAGGATATCTGTCATACATCATATTTGATAGTAACTTCATAACCACCACAAAACTTAACTGGTCAATCTTCTTGCGTATTATATCTCAACAGCTACCTCTAACAAGTGCATGATCACTATATAACCAACACAAGTGTACTCTAAATGTCTAAAAGTAAACTATGAATCGGGAGATTCCTCCATCAGTTGTGGCCGGTACTTGCTGTTGCAATAGAGGCTCTGTCACCCCTTTTACCAAAGACAACTTTCAGCCCCTTCTGAAACTGCTTGTACTTGATGGCGTATATGCACGGGTTCAGGCAGCTGTTGAGAGCAACCATCCTGATTGTTATGTAGAATATGGGCGATGAGAAGTCGACTTTCACATCGAGGTTGAAGAGGAAAAAGAAGATCTGGTTTGGTGTCCAACAAATGATGAATGCCGCGCAGACAATCAGGAGGGTCTTGAAGGTGTTACGGCGAGCACGCATCAGTGATTCCCCCTGGCCTTCAGTGGATGGACCTGCAGCTGCCGGTCCAGGCTGAATTCTGCCAGCTCCCTTCTTCAGAACAACCGTGATGTGGATGTAGACGACGAGCATGATACTGACGGGCAGGCAATAAGTCGCGAAGAAGACACACACGCCAAGAATTTGTGGGTGAGCCACCTGGTTTAGCACGCACTCTCCGGCCTCGTAGTAGCGGAGATAGATGCCATAACTGGCAAACAGAAACCCTGCCACCCACACACCGACCAGTACAGCTATGGCTTTCTTACGAGTGGCCAGGGCTTGGTACCTGAAGGGAAACACTATGGCCAGGTACCTCTCAAGAGTCAATATTATCAGGTTGAATGTGGACGCAGTGAATGGTCCCCATTGGAGGAAGTCGCTGACCCACAGAGAGCAGAGAAACACCCCAGTAGCCCCAGGAGGTATCGGATCAGGGATTGGTACGACATTCAGAAGCAGAGCAATCAAGGACCCCATGAGATCAATCAGGACTTGGTTGAAGATGAAGGCATTGGTCAGGGTGTGCATGAAGCGAACTTTGGCGATCACCACGCACGCCAAACCATTGCCGCAGATCCCAACGATTCCTACAATGGCCTGGAATGCCTGGCTTGCTTGCTCAGCCATTGCGACTCTCTGTCTGTCCTGATAAGCTCAAGTTGTGGTAGGTTTTGGTAACTGATGACTGATTGAAATGCGTGCAGTTTTATAGTCACTTTTTCACTCACCGGCAAAGCAAGTCATTTACCAATAAACAACATACGTTTAGAACATGATGTTTGTAATGTACGCTGATATAAAAACTAGTCAACGATTTTATATTTGTCTAGTATTCTAGACCTTTATAATTTTAATTGGAAAGGAAATGTTATCACAAAAAAACAAGCAGAAATGTGAAAACTAAATGTTATGATAAATATCTAGTAAACGAATTATGTTTGACGAGCAATTACACAAAATTGATCATTCTAAATTAAAAGGAAAATTGATCACTCGTAGAATAACAGAAGTGCAAGTTGATTGATTGCTTTGGCCAGTGTACCTGCTTTAAAAAGCGTGCAATCGTTCTATGTCGCAACCACCAGCTGTACGGCCGAACCATGTCCAACAAGAGGTTCATTGGCCTATGATTATATGACAATGTTTTCTTGTAAATTGATGGGAAAGTACTCTTCCTCCGTGATTATTTTTGTCAAGATAACTTGACAGATTTTTCAGCAGCAGAGAAGATTTCTTAAAAGAAATGTTTATATATAATCTTTAAAAAATATAGACTGTGTTTCTTTTCAGTATTCCTAATTTTAACCAAGATAGGAATTTTATTCTACTAAATGATCAATTCTTCTACTTTTCGTTTGTTCATTATTCTTAGTAGTTACTCATTTCATTACTTTTAAACTATTCATATTTCAAAAGATATACATGCAGTGCAGAAGAGAACCGTTCTCTGAAAGTGGGCACTTGACCACAGCATCCAATTTCTAAACAGATGTCACATTACAAACACGTTCAAACTAACACTGAGATACAATGTTAGATACCTCATACATATTCGCTAAAATATTGTCCAGTTACCGGTACATATCAATCAGTCCAAACAAAAAAATAGTTCTGCTTCCGATTACATGGCATTTGAAAATAGGGTAGGTAGGAAGGGATTTTTTGGGGGCAATTTTTATTTTGGTTCATCATATGGGTGTCTGCATGTAGTCAAGGGTAAAAACTAGTAATTGATGGTTTTTGGTTTTTCCCCCTCTTTTCCCCCCCAAAAATGTTTATGGCCAGGGCCGCTCAAGATAGGGTAGGTAGGGTAACCAGAAACAGAAACATGGTTTTTTTTGTGGTTTTTTTTTGGGGGGGGGGGATTTATCTTGGCAAAAAGTTGCTAGGTGTGTGCCCCCATCTTTTTGTGTCTGTATTTAGCTGGGGCGATGTTTGTGTATGCACGCACTACACCTGTGTGCCAGCTCCATGTTTGTTTTGTGAAACGCATACGTAAAGGACATTGCGTGGTAACCCATGCGATAGTCTACTACACATGCGCAATTACCCCGTGCATGAATAGTCGCTTTGCGCACTTGGTAAACAGCAACTCCAGAGAATGGCACGTAATGGTGAACAAACAGTGAGATTTCCGCTAATGAATATGTACGCAGGTATTTGTTAATAGTCTTTGTTGTAAATACACAGATTTATAAGCATTCTGTACACAAGTCTCACTGGAAATTGTTGACATCAAACAAAGTTGAATGTGGCATACATACGCAAAATTCAATACATGACAAAGTGCAGTGTATGTCTAATCGAGAATATGTAGTAACCTCAAATAAAATAATTACAACAAGAGTTCTAGCTTCAGGATTCATTATGGGGACTTTAAAACGCCATCATTTTATAGGATATCTGTCATACATCATATTTGATAATAACTTCATAACCACCACAAAACTTAACTGGTTAAAGGGAATATACATCATTTGCTTTTGCTGTAATTTTCAGAAATGGATGGAATTGGGGGGTTGGAAATATATAGCAAATATAGTTAAACTGACTTTTTTGAGGTTTTGGGTTCGAAAATGCTATAAAAACCAAGAAAAACAATCATTTTCCTGTAGTCTGGTTCCCTGACTCCATATAAGAAGAAACAGAGGAGTTTACATACATTGGGGAATTGTAAGGTCAGGGAACCAGTCTAGCAGGCTCGTACCCGTTCATAGGTTTGTAATAGATTGCAAACAAGTGCAATGGTCAATTGGGGCCAGTATTTGGAAAAAGCCATTTTTTTTCCAACGCTGATCATCCGATCAGCGTTGGAAATTGATACAAAAATACCACTTTTCTTGAAAACGTCAGTATACCAGGTGCCATGATTTTACAGGATGCTTGACACTGTCATTCACTAACAGTCCAGCAAGGTATTTCAAAATGATTTGGTAGTTTTAATTTTTGATGTTTGCAAATGTTGTATTTTCCCTTTAATCTTCTTGCGTATTATATCTCAACAGCTACCTCTAGCAAGTGCATGATCAGTAAATAACCAACACAAGTGTACTCTAAATGTCTAAAAGTAAACTATGAATCGGGAAATTCCTCCATCAGTTGTGGCCGGTACTTGCTGTTGCAATAGAGGCTCTGTCACCCCTTTTACCAAAGACAACTTTCAGCCCCTTCTGAAACTGCTTGTACTTGATGGCATATATGAACGGGTTCAGGCAGCTGTTGAGAGCAACCATCCCGATCGTTATGTAGAATATGGGTGATGAGAAGTCGACTTTCAGCCCGAGGTTGGAGAGGAAAAAGAAGATCTGGTTTGGTGTCCAACAAATGATGAATGCCGCGCAGACAATCAGGAGGGTCTTGAAGGTGTTACGGCGAGCACGCATCAGTGATTCCCCTGGCCTTCAGTGGATGGACCTGCAGCTGCCGGTCCGGGCTGAATTCTGCCAGCTCCCTTCTTCAGAACAACCGTGATGTGGATGTAGACGACGAGCATGATACTGACGGGCAGGCAATAATTCACGAAGAAGACACACACGCCAAGAACTTGTGGGTGAGCCACCTGTTTTATCACGCACTCTCCGGCCTCGTAGAAGCGGAGATAGATGCCAAAACTGGAAAACAGAAACCCTGCCACCCACACACCGACCAGTACAGCTATGGCTTTCTTACGAGTGGCCAGGGCTTGGTACCTGAAGGGAAACACTATGGCCAGGTACCTCTCAAGAGTCAATGTTATCAGGTTGAATGTGGACGCAGTGAATGGTGCCCACTGGAGGTAGTCGCTGATCCACACAGAGCAGAGAAACACCCAAGCAGCCCCAGGAGGTATCGGATCAGGGATTGGTACGAGATTCAGAAGCAGAGTCATCAAGGACCCGATGAGATCAATCAGGGCTTGGTTGAAGATGAAGGCGTTGGTCAGGGTGTGCATGAAGCGATTTTTGGCGATCACCACGCACACCAAACCATTGCCGCAGATCCCAACGATTCCTACAATGGCCTGGAATGCCTGGGTTGCTTGCTCAGCCATTGCGACTCTCTTTTTATCCTGATAAGCTCAAGTTGTGGTTGGTTTTGGTAACTGATGACTGGTCAAAATGCGTGCAGTTTTATACTAGTCCTTGTTTATTCACTGACCAGCAAAGCACGTCATTCACCAGTAATCAACAAACGTTAAGAACAACGCACCTATGATGTACGCTGAATAGGAAATTGATAAATAATTTTAGGGCTAGATTTTAAATTGAAGGAAAGTTTTCTCCCAGAAAAAGCTGTAAATGATTTTATGACTAAATGTCTATTAAAATTATAAGGTTAAACAAGCAATTAAATACCATTCGTTGTATTTTCATCTTTATAACTTTGATTAAAAGGGAATTTTTGTGTAACGTTAATCAAATTAACAAAAGTGTACTCTAAAGAAATGTATAGACTGTAATATCATTAACTACTGGCAGGGTGACAGAAGCGCAGGTAGAGTATTTGATTTTGTCATTGTTTGGATTGGGAATTCCATCCAAGTGCCTTTGTGTGCATGTCAGACACCTTTTTCTCTTTTCTTTTCTTTTCTTTTGTTGGCTGTTTTGGCAAAACATGCCGAAACAGCCTTTGCTTTGCTGCTTAAAATAGTCTTTGTTGTAAATACAAATATTTAAAGATTTATAACCATTCATATATACCGTCACCATTTTCACGAAGAGCCACATATGTCAAAAATTACCATTTTTTCGATTTTGATTTTTTTTTCAATATTTTGCTTTAAAACAATGCACTTAACCATTTTGACATGTTTCTGTAAGCAAAACATCATTAATTTCCAAGTTACATTAATGTTGCAAGGGGCCAAAATCTCAATAAATGAATTTTGCGTTTTCACGAAGAGCCACATACATTTTGGCCCTTTGAACGCGTACAAAACCCATTGCATGGAAATACGTAAAAGTAGGTCAAATGAGATTTGCGTTTTCACGAAGAGCCACATATATTTGTTACATTTTCAGCTGCGCGCGCGTACTCACGCGCGCCTATGGAAATACACATTGAACAGAAAGGGCCAATATGTCGGAAACCTGAATTTGTGTTTTCACGAAGAGCCACATATCTTTACTAATTAATTTTCACTAATTAACTGCTGAATGAAGTCTTATTACTGGGTTCATGTAAAAATTCAGCTCACACAGCAATAGTGTGATAGTTTCCTTGCTTCACAAAGTTGTTGCAAAGTGGTATTTTTTGCAGTTGTAAAATATGAGAAACTTCTTTTGCGATTATCTCGAAAACACTTTTTCTTCAAAATCGACAAATGTGGCTCTTCGTGAAGACGGTGACGATACAAGCCTCACTGGAAATTATTGACATCAAACAAAGTTGAATGTGGCATACACATGTACATATGCAAACTTCAATACATGATGAAGTGCAGTGCATTGTCCAATCGAGAATTTGTCCTCCATCAAATAAAATAATTACAAGAGTTCTAGCTTCAGGAAAAGTGATACAGCTCAATATGGGGATTTTAAAACATCATCATTTTATAGGATATCTGTCATACATCATATTTGATAATAACTTCATAACCACCACAAAACCACAAAACTTAACTGGTTAATCTTCTTGCGTATTATATCTCAACAGCTACCTCTAACAAGTGCATGATCACTATATATAACCAACACAAGTGTACTCTAAATGTCTAAAAGTAAACTATGAATCGGGAGATTCCTCCATCAGTTGTGGCCGGTACTTGCTGTTGCAATAGAGGCTCTGTCAACCCTTTTACCAAAGACAACTTTCAGCCCCTTCTGAAACTGCTTGTACTTGATGGCATATATGAACGGGTTCAGGCAGCAGTTGAGAGCAATCATCCCGATCGTTATGTAGAATATGGGCGATGAGAAGTCGACTTTCACCCCGAGGTTGAAGAGGAAAAAGAAGATCTGGTTTGGTGTCCAACAAATGATGAATGCCGCGCAGACAATCAGGAGGGTCTTGAAGGTGTTACGGCGAGCACGCATCAGTGATTCCCCCTGGCCTTCAGTGGATGGACCTGCAGCTGCCGGTCCAGGCTGAATTCTGCCAGCTCCCTTCTTCAGAACAACCGTGATGTGGATGTAGACGACGAGCATGATACTGACGGGCAGGCAATAAGTCGCGAAGAAGACAAACACGCCAAGAATTTGTGGGTGAGCCACCTGGTTTAGCACGCACTCTCCGGCCTCGTAGTAGCGGAGATAGATGCCATAACTGGCAAACAGAAACCCTGCCACCCACACACCGACCAGTACAGCTATGGCTTTCTTACGAGTGGCCAGGGCTTGGTACCTGAAGGGAAACACTATGGCCAGGTACCTCTCAAGAGTCAATATTATCAGGTTGAATGTGGACGCAGTGAATGGTCCCCATTGGAGGAAGTCGCTGACCCACAGAGAGCAGAGAAACACCCCAGTAGCCCCAGGAGGTATCGGATCAGGGATTGGTACGACATTCAGAAGCAGAGCAATCAAGGACCCCATGAGATCAATCAGGACTTGGTTGAAGATGAAGGCATTGGTCAGGGTGTGCATGAAGCGAACTTTGGCGATCACCACGCACGCCAAACCATTGCCGCAGATCCCAACGATTCCTATAATGGCCTGGAATGCCTGGCTTGCTTGCTCAGCCATTGCGACTCTCTGTCTGTCCTGATAAGCTCAAGTTGTGGTAGGTTTTGGTAACTGATGACTGATTGAAATGCGTGCAGTTTTATAGTCATTTATTCACTCACCGGCAAAGCAAGTCATTTACCAATAAACAACATACGTTTAGAACATGATGTTTGTAATGTACGCTGATATAAAAACTAGTCAACGATTTTATATTTGTCTAGTATTCTAGACCTTTATAATTTTAATTGGAAAGGAAATGTTATCACAAAAAAACAAGCAGAAATGTGAAAACTAAATGTTATGATAAATATCTAGTAAACTAATAATGTTCGACAAGCAATTACACAAAATTGATCATTCTAAATTGAAAGGAAAATTGATCACTGGTAGAATAACAGAAGCGCAAGTTGATTGATTGCTTTGGCCAGTGTACCTGCTTTAAAAAGCGTGCAATCATTCTTTGTCGCAACCACTAGCTGTACGGCTGAACCATGTCCAACAAGAGGTTCATTGGCCTATGATTATATGACAATGTTTTCTTGTAAATTGATGGGAAAGTACTCTTCCTCCATGATTATTTTTATCAAGATAACTTGACAGATTTTTCAGCAGCACAGAAGATTTCTTCAAAGAAATAATCTTATATCTATAAATAAAAAAATAGACTGTGTTTCTTTTCAGTATTCCTAATTTTAACCAAGATAGGAATTTTATTCTACTAAATGATCAATTCATCTACTTTTCGTTTGTTCATTATTCTTAGTATTTACTCATTTCATTACTTTTAAACTATTCATATTTCAAAAGATATACATGCAGTGCAGAAGAGAACCGTTCTCTGAAAGTGGGCACTTGATCACAGCATCCAATTTCTAAACAGATGTCACATTACAAACACATTCAAACTAACACTTCCTTTTATGGCGCACAGCTGGAACAAAAAAATGTGTCATTTGTAATGACTTTTTCCCTACTCTTAGTCAATTGGTCAAGCTGTCAGATTAGCGGTATAGTTTTTTTTTTAATCTCTGAAGATGTCTGCGTTTTTTAAAGGGAAAATACCGGTACAACATTTGCAAACATCAAAAAATAAAACTACCAAATTATTTTGAAATACCTTGCTGGACTGTTAGTGAAAGGCAGTCTAAAGCATCCTGTAAAATCATGGCACCTGGTATACTGTCATTTTCAAGAAAAGTGGTAATCCATCCATTTCTGAAACTTACAGCAGAAGCAAATGATGTATATTCCCTTTCAGGGCAATTCCTTGCAAATGTCATCCTGAGGATATCTGTCATACATCATATTTGATAGTAACTTCATAACCACCACAAAACTTAACTGGTCAATCTTCTTGCGTATTATATCTCAACAGCTACCTCTAACAAGTGCATGATCACTATATAACCAACACAAGTGTACTCTAAATGTCTAAAAGTAAACTATGAATCGGGAGATTCCTCCATCAGTTGTGGCCGGTACTTGCTGTTGCAATAGAGGCTCTGTCACCCCTTTTACCAAAGACAACTTTCAGCCCCTTCTGAAACTGCTTGTACTTGATGGCGTATATGCACGGGTTCAGGCAGCTGTTGAGAGCAACCATCCTGATTGTTATGTAGAATATGGGCGATGAGAAGTCGACTTTCACATCGAGGTTGAAGAGGAAAAAGAAGATCTGGTTTGGTGTCCAACAAATGATGAATGCCGCGCAGACAATCGGGAGGGTCTTGAAGGTGTTACGGCGAGCACGCATGAGTGATTCCCCCTGGCCTTCAGTGGATGGACCTGCAGCTGCTGGTCCGGGTTGAATTCTGCCAGCTCCCTTCTTCAGAACAACCGTGATGTGGATGTAGACGACGAGCATGATACTGACGGGCAGGCAATAAGTCGCGAAGAAGACACACACGCCAAGAATTTGTGGGTGAGCCACCTGGTTTAGCACGCACTCTCCGGCCTCGTAGTAGCGGAGATAGATGCCATAACTGGCAAACAGAAACCCTGCCACCCATACACCGACCAGAGAGCAGAGAACACCCCAGTAGCCCCAGGAGGTATCGGATCAGGGATTGGTACGACATTCAGAAGCAGAGCAATCAAGGACCCCATGAGATCAATCAGGACTTGGTTGAAGATGAAGGCATTGGTCAGGGTGTGCATGAAGCGAACTTTGGCGATCACCATGCACGCCAAACCATTGCCGCAGATCCCAACGATTCCTACAATGGCCTGGAATGCCTGGCTTGCTTGCTCAGCCATTGCGACTCTCTGTCTGTCCTGATAAGCTCAAGTTGTGGTAGGTTTTGGTAACTGATGACTGATTGAAATGCGTGCAGTTTTATAGTCATTTTTTCACTCACCGGCAAAGCAAGTCATTTACCAATAAACAACATACGTTTAGAACATGATGTTTGTAATGTACGCTGATATAAAAACTAGTCAACGATTTTATATTTGTCTAGTATTCTAGACCTTTATAATTTTAATTGGAAAGAAATGTTATCACAAAAAAACAAGCAGAAATGTGAAAACTAAATGTTATGATAAATATCTAGTAAACGAATTATGTTTGACGAGCAATTACACAAAATTGATCATTCTAAATTAAAAGGAAAATTGATCACTGGTAGAATAACAGAAGCGCAAGTTGATTGATTGCTTTGGCCAGTGTACCTGCTTTAAAAAGCGTGCAATCATTCTTTGTCGCAACCACCAGCTGTACGGCCGAACCATGTCAAACAAGAGGTTCATTGGCATATGATTATATGACAATGTTTTCTTGTAAATTGATGGGAAAGTACTCTTCCTCCGTGATTATTTTTGTCAAGATAACTTGACAGATTTTTCAGCAGCAGAGAAGATTTCTTAAAAGAAATGTTCTTATATCTATTAAAAAAAAATAGACTGTGTTTCTTTTCAGTATTCCTAATATTAACCAAGATAGGAATTTTATTCTACTAAGAGATCAATTCATCTACTTTTCGTTTGTTCATTATTCTTTGTATTTACTCATATATTTCAATACTTTTAAACTATTTGTATTTCAAAAGATATACATGCAGTGCAGAAGAGAACCGTTCTCTGAAAGTGGGCACTTGACCACAGCATCCAATTTCTAAACAGATGTCACATTACAAACACATTCAAACTAACACTCTCTTTTACGGCGCACAGCTGGAACAAAAAATGTGTCATTTGTAATGACTTTTTCCCTACTCTTAGTCAATTGGTCAAGCTGTCAGATTCGCGGTATAGTTTTTTTTTCTATCTATGAAGATGTCTTTGTTTTTTAAAGGGAAAATACAACATTTGCAAACATCAAAAAATAAAACTACCAAATTATTTTGAAATACCTTGCTGGACTGTTAGTGAAAGGCAGTCTAGAGCATCCTGTAAAATCATGGCACCTGGTATACCGTCATTTTCAAGAAAAGTGGTATTTTTGTATCAATTTCCAACGCTGATCGGCCGACCAGCAGTGGCCCGAATTGACCATATGTAGTTTGTCCGCATTTGTTTGCAATTGATAACACATGAACGGGTACAAGCCAGCTAGACTGGTTCCCTGACCTTTCAATTCCCCAATGTCTATAAATTGCTCAGTTTCATCTTAATTGGAGTCAGGGAACCAGACTACAGGAAAATGATTGTTTTTCTTTGTTTTTATAGCATCTACAAACCCAAAACGTCAAAAAAGTCAGTGTAACAATATTTGCTATATTACCAACCCCCCAAATCCATCCATTTTTACCCCTCAGCCGAGAGGCTCGAGGGGTATTGTCATCGCCTAGGGCGTCCGTCCGTCCGGATGTATGTATGTCTGTCCGTCCGTCCGTCCGTCCGTCCGGGCAGCTTAGTTTCCGGATGATAACTTGAGTTAGAAATGTTGTTTGGGGTTGTAACTTCGGTAGGGGGTTGCCCTTGGGAGTAGGCAAGTTGGGATTGGTTTTGAGGTCAAAAGGTCAAAGGTCAAGGTCACCGTGGTGAGTTAAATGTAAATGGTTTCCGGATGATAACTTGAGTTAGAAATGAGATTTTGGTGTCTAACTTTGGTAGGGGGTTGCCCTTGGGAGTAGGCAAGTTGGGATTGGTTTTGGGGTCAAAAGGTCAAAGGTCAAGGTCACCGTGGTGAGTTAAATGTAAATGGTTTCCGGATGATAACTTGAGTTAGAAATGAGATTTTGGTGTCTAACTTTGGTAGGGGGTTGCCCTTGGGAGTAGGCAAGTTGGGATTGGTTTTGGGGTCAAAAGGTCAAAGGTCAAGGTCACCGTGGTGAGTTAAATGTAAATGGTTTCCGGATGATAACTTGAGTTAGAAATGAGATTTTGGTGTCTAACTTTGGTAGGGGGTTGCCCTTGGGAGTAGGCAAGTTGGGATTGGTTTTGAGGTCAAAAGGTCAAAGGTCAAGGTCACCGTGGTGAGTTAAATGTAAATGGTTTCCGGATGATAACTTGAGTTAGAAATGAGATTTTGGTGTCTAACTTTGGTAGGGGGTTGCCCTTGGGAGTAGGCAAGTTGGGATTGGTTTTGAGGTCAAAAGGTCAAAGGTCAAGGTCACCGTGGTGAGTTAAATGTAAATGGTTTCCGGATGATAACTTGAGTTAGAAATGAGATTTTGGTGTCTAACTTTGGTAGGGGGTTGCCCTTGGGAGTAGGCAAGTTGGGATTGGGTTTGGGGTCAAAAGGGCAAAGGTCAAGGTCACCGTGGTGAGTTAAATGTAAATGGTTTCCGGATGATAACTTGAGTTAGAAATGAGATTTTGGTGTCTAACTTTGGTAGAGGGTTGCCCTTGGGAGTAGGCAAGTTGGGATTGGTTTTTGGGTCAAAAGGTCAAAGGTCAAGGTCACCATTGTGAGTTAAAGGTAAATGGTTTCCGGATGATAACTTGAGTTAGAAATGCAATTTTGGTGTCTAACTTTGGAAGAGGGTTCCCCTTGGGAGAAGGCAAGTTGGGATTGGTTTTGAGGTCAAAAGGTCAAAGGTCAAGGTCACCATTGTGAGTTAAAGGTAAATGGTTTCCGGATGATAACTTGAGTTAGAAATGCAATTTTGGTGTCTAACTTTGGAAGAGGGTTCCCCTTGGGAGAAGGCAAGTTGGGATTGGTTTTGAGGTCAAAAGGTCAAAGGTCAAGGTCACCGTGGTGAGTTAAAGGTAAATGGTTTCCGGATGATAACTTGAGTTAGAAATGAGATTTTGGTGTCTGACTGAGGTAGGGGTTTGCCCTTGGGTACAGGCAAGTTGGGATTGGTTTTGGGGTCAAAAGGTCAAAGGTCAAGGTCACCGTGGTGAGTTCAATGTAAATGGTTCCGAATGATAACTTGAGTTAGAAATGAAATGTTGGTGTCTAACTTCGGTAGGGGGTTTCCCATTGGTACAGGCATGTTGGGACTGGTTCTGGGGTCAAAGGCCAAAGGTCAAGGTCACCACGTGAGTTAAAGGTTAATGGTTTCCGGATGATAACTTGACTCTGGCTGAGGGGTTTCAACAGCAACGCTGTTATTTTTGAAAATTACAGCAGAAGCAAATGATGTATATTCCCTTTCACGGCAATTCTGTGAAAATGTCATCCTGTGGGTCATAAATTGTTTTTTATAATAAATGGTCAGGTTGGCTACCATTTTGAAGCTAATAAGGTAAAGAATACAAAAAAATTCACTCAATTTTACATCAAATGCAAAATTGACATGAAAATGAGTGTAAAAAAGCACATATTGGTTAAAAAGCAAAATTTTAATAAATTGCAATTTTAGGTATATTTTGCCAATTAATTAAGTATGTTTTGACAAATTTTCTTGAATTTTGTAATTTTTAAGCAAAAATCCGCATTTTATTGCCTAGAATTACAAAATTGAATTTGTTTTGCATTTTACCCAAAATCCTGCCACTTTTAAATTTTACCAAAACGATGTGTCAGTCTGCATGTTACCGAAATATCTAAAAAATATTTTTTTTAGTCTTTTATATTAATTAGTTAGAATAACTTTCTTTTGAGGATTCTCTGTAGTCATCAAGCTACATGTATGAACAAAATTGACAAAGAAAATTCATGTACCATTTTGTTATTATTAAAATAAACCATGGTAACAGACTGACGCCTGTGGTAACAGACTGACAGCAACAGACTGACACATGCACAAGTCTATGGCTCTAGATGCAAGGCATTAATTGTGGGTAAAGTGCATAGTTAAATCAGTGGCCCAGGTGAAGGTATTCTGACCAATACTTCAGCCATGTGCTTTGGTCTATTTTCCTGAAATTTGGCAAGAATGTTGGTTGGTAGGTACTAAATAAGTTGAACTCATTTGGTTGTGCTACTGCCACCACAAGAGGGCACTTTCCTTTTTTATGTTTTTGCAATTTTTGGTCAAAAAACAGTATTTTGGGCATAATTTGTACATTTTGCATTCAAATGCTTTCAAATTTGGTACAAATATTGTTTGAGTTAATATAGAAGCATTCAAACAACCTTTGCCATCTTACGGCAACACTAGAGGGCGCTATATCAACTTTTTTGGGCCAAAATCATCATTTTTCTTGATTTTGGCCCAAAATTTGAATTGTTCATCCAAAAAATCACACCTGTACTTACACAATGGTTTCAAACACCTAAAACCTCAGTTTAAAACAGGAAAAGAACATGACAAAGAGGTCGTACATGTACATGTAGGTAAATTTACTGTACATGTTGCACATGAACTGAGCATGTCAGTCTGTTACCACCGATGTCAGTCTGTTACCGAGCATATTTTTGATCACGCCAGTTTACCCGGCAGTGATTTACGAAAACCACCACCATTTATAAACAGCAAGGACTTAGCTTTATAATATATTTAGTGTACCATTTCTTTTTATTTGCCAACTTCACAGAGTTTTTCCACTGAACACTCAGTTTGGAAAAAGGCAGGATGCGCAAGTGTCAGTCTGTTACCATGGCAACACAAAATTGTTATCAAATCACACGATGACGTCATGATGACGTCACCTAAATATTTGCCTATAACACGTCCCGGTCTACTCACATACCAAGTGTCAACATGTTCAAAATTCCCGCTCCACCGGTAAGCTCCCGGCGACATTTCGATGCTTAGATTTGCTTTATGTCATTGGACAACATTCACGTATTCAACAAGACGTTCCAACAGAATCAACGAGGCAACAAGACAGATTCCGGTTATAAACCGGAGATAAAGTGGGAGCAACATATCTCCCATGGCAGCAGCTAGTACAGCCCCATCTATCTCTGTAATATTTCAGTT